CCCTGGGGGGGGCTGGGGGTGGGGGGAATCTCCAGAGCTGGTTCCTCTGTTTTGTTTCTTTCATAGAACCATGGCCAAAAGCCACATAGAGAAACCAATTTCACTGTAGAAGCCAGCCTTTGTGACTGGACGCAGCTCGGCGTATGCGTGTGTGCTCATGTGGAGGGGCCGGGATGTCTGAAGGGAAGATGGAGCTCAGCGGTAGAGGATGAGGAGAGCCGAAGAAGGAGTTGGTCCTAGAGAAGGAACAGCACGTGCAAATGCACAGGAATGTGGGGGGAAGAACAAGAAGACGGTGTTGGGCGACCAGCAGCCACGTGTGTGCAGCTGGTTGGGTCAGGGGCAGCCACGTGTTCCCAGGAAGGAGATTATACTCTGGACTTACTTTCTGGGCCCTGCCTATCACTTTAGGGGCACTTGCCCCCTACTTGGTGTGTGGCTTTTCCCAGGGGTCACTGCTGTTCCTGTCATGCCCACATCCTAACATCTTTCTGCCCTCTCTTCCCTTCCTTAAAAATGCTCATTCAAAACAAACTTCCTGTAAAGACGGAGACATAGACAGACATACTACACAACCCCTCTTCAGCAAAGATGGGGCCAAACAGATGTGGAGGGAAAACCTGGTGCTCTGATTCTCTGAAGCAAAAAAAGATCACAACAAGAGAGGCTGTTGTAGTGGGGAGGCGGGTGGGCTGAATCATTCCCAGTTCCCCAGGACTCCCTGGTGTAGGGAGGGGTTGTGGGTCCACATCACATGCTTGGCAGTGGCTGTAAAGCCACTCAGTGCTTGTGGGGCTGGAGGAGGGACCAGTGCCCTCCCTGGGCCTGGCTGAACTGGATTTGGAATACTGTTAAACTGGCAGAGCAGCAGGGCACAGGGTCCATGGTCCTGGGTCTGACCATGCCGGCAAAACAGTGGGGAGTGGACATTCATGGTCTGTGCTCCTGTGGGGCACACAGAGTGGGTCTCGATAAGCAAGTACTGGTGATGGGAAAAGAAGACAACTGCTGGCTCTGGCCTAGGCCTTCTTTCCCATTTTAATGTGCTTTATTTCTTTTATCATTACTTCTTCATTTCCTGGCTTTTTGTTCATTTGTTGAGTAGTCTTTTTGCTTGTTTATGTTTATTACAGTTTTATATATGTCTTTTAAAAAATCATTCCTTTATCACTCAACTCAATGGAGAAAATTGTCCCTATGTGTCCCAGCCACCCTTGTACCAACAACAGCTACATCTAGTAGACAGGACCCCCACCCACTCTAAGACCACCCGATTGTGTTAGTCTGGGTACTTTAGAGAAACAAATTCACAGAAACTCATGTATAAGAGAGAGTTTTATATAATGGTTAAGTGTACATCAAGAAAACATCCCAACCCAGTGTTGCCCAATCCCACAGTCCAACATTAGCCCATATGTCCAACACCAATCCACAAAGTCTTCCTCCATCTCACAAAACACACACAATGACGCCGACTGCAGGAGGAAAGCCGAATCAGTGAGCGTGTAAGCATCTCAGCTCTGGCAGGGGTCTCCACACATCTGCTCCAGCACCCAGGGCTGCATCGGGGTAGGTCCATGTGGCTTCTCCTTGGGGATGTCTTTCAGGAAGTGAGCCTTGCCAGCTGAAGCAGGGAACTGGCTAAGGCAGCTGCACCCTGGTCCGACCATCACAAAGCAAGAGACCTGAGAACTAGAAAGGCGAGGCTCACCGAGCCATTTATCCCTCCGCCCTTCAATTAACTCCACATATCTTTATCGGCCAGGTTGGCACAATAAACTACCTACCTCACTGATCAACAAACACACGAACACAGAAACACACACACAGGAAGTGAAAAACAAAACAGAATGCCATGTTGTGACGTCTCGGAGAAGCCAGACAACTACAGCTCACATGAAGAAACAAGACAGCCTGGCACAAGTGAGTGGCCAAAACGTGGAACCACGAGACCGTCCTGGGGCACCGGGCACTACAGGCCAGAGCGGAAGAATTCAGAAGACGGCTTCCCAGGTGTTTTCAGCACATGCAGAAGAAGACGGAGGGAGCTATGGGAAAACTAACCAGAAAAAACTACAGAATATTCCAGGAAACCACTGCAAGAGCAATCTGGGGTTGGGGGTTAGGGTGGGGAATGAGAATTAAAAGTTAGAAACGATACAAAGAAAACCT